TATATGAATTTTGTATGGAAAAAACGAGGCCGCAATAGTTTATTATTGGATAGAGAGGAAAATGTGTTATGGAGGAGAGAGTATTTGACCAAAATTGAATATTATAGGGAACAACAGAGAACAATTTATTAAATGGATGAAATCTGGGTTAATGCTGGTCATACTACCCCTGAAGTATGGGTCGATGAAACTGTGACCTTATATTTATTGAGACCTGCCTCAATCTCAATATATAAAAAGTAAACCTCGTATTTGTTTTATTTACTTACATACCTCTTCATAATTTCAGGTAAATGAAAACGGCTTATTATTTGTCACATCGGCAATGAGAATGGGTTTGTTGCTGAAGGGCTGTGGTGTTTTGAGTCGAAGAAAACTGGAGATTATCACAAAGAAATGAACGGTGAATCTTTCGAAGAGTGGTTTTCCAAAGTTCTACCCCATCTGGAAGATAATGCTGTGATTGTAATGGACAATGCACCTTATCATTCGCGACGTTTCCAAAGTTCTACCCCATCTGGAAGATAATGCTGTGATTGTAATGGACAATGCACCTTATCATTCGCGACGATTTGAGAAGATTCCGACGTCTTTAAAAAAGGTTGGAATCCAAAATTGGATGAGATCAAAGAATATTAGCTTTGAAGACTCAATACTAAGAGTACAGCTACTAAAAATTGCCAAGGAGCGCAAGCTTGAATACCAAAAATATATAGTCGATGAGATGGCAGCAGGCCAAAACAAAATTGTCCTTCGCCTGCCTCCATACCACTGCGAGCTTAATCCCATCGAGTTGATATGGGCGGATGTGAAGAATTTTGTAGCTCAGCATAACACCACGTTCAAATTAGCAGATCTCAAAGTACTTTTTGATGAAGCTTTGAAAAAAGTCACAGCGGAGAAATGGGAGAAGTGTGTTCGGCATGTGATATCAAAAGTCGAGATAAAGATGAGGAAGCTTGATAACATAATAGAGGCACAAATCGAGCCACTGATAATTCAGATTGGTGAGGATGACACTACTGATGAAGAAACAAATTCATCCAGTTGAATAATTTTGACTAATATTCCTTTTGATTTTACATAAAATAAAAATTATCCAGAAAGAAATAATTACGTCTCTTTTCATATAATGCTTGAGTGCACTGTGATATTATATTACACATATTATCTGCATTTTTCCCGTTAAACTGCCGAACTTGTGCATTTCACTCGTTATTATAAAAAAGTTTTCCTAAGTATAATATAGCATTTGCGATCAACAAGATGTTGGTTCTGAATACGACCCTGGCCAATTCTTGGGATTTTCAATATCACGTGCGTAGGGCATGTCAATGTTAACATCCACTCTATCTTGGATTTGAATTTGCTTTAGAGTAAAAAGAGCAGCAAACGAAGACCATATCAGAGAATATATATCAAAAAAACCTGGGTTCAAAAAGGATGCAATAATAGTCAAAGAACATCCGGGTGAACAGAAACAACTCAAAAGATTTGTTGTCACAGCACCACTGGAAAAAAAGGAGGAACTGTACAAACCTGACTTCTGGCCAAAGTATTTTGGAGTCAAAAGATTCAACTTCGAGCGGCATCGAGAATTCCTTAATGGACAAGGTGGGGATTTTTTATAGAAAACCGAGCCACAGGGGGAACAAAAAGATTTACTGAAACAAAAAAGTGACAGGAAAAATCAGCATATTCCATCAAAATGTACAGTGTATACCAAACTGTCTCAACAATCTCAACTTACTCAAAACATAAAAGACATCAAAGTGCACAATGTATTTAAACACAAACTAAAACAAATGTCCATTGCAGCAGAACCATATGGTTTGGATAATGTGGATGAGCGCACTTTCAAGAGATAACTGTCTCAAGCAATATGATATATGTTGTTCGTAATCCTTTTAATCTTTTTAACAAATTACTTCCTGATGTAATGGGATGAAAATGTACACTATTCCTTTTGACTTGTACTATACAAATTTTGTAAATTGTCCCTTGTGCGAAATAAATATTATTATTACTATTATCAGAACATTTGCTGAGGATGGCAGCATATCGGTTGGCTAATGCCATGTAAATTTTTCGGAAATTTTGGGCATGAAACATCGAATGAGCATCGCTCAGGAATTGTTTAATGACATCAACGGCGATCCAGATTTGCCTGAAAGGGTCATAACTGATGAATTATGGGTATATGGTTATGATCTCGAAACCAATCGTCCAATCGTCCCAATGGAAGAGCAGAGCAGAGCCAAGACCAAAAATAGCACGCCAAGCTCGATCAATTGTCAGTGTTACTAACTGTTTTCTTCGATCACCGTGGCGCAATGCATCAGGAGTTCTTGCCACATGGCCGTAAGGTCAATAAACAGAATCATCTTGAAGTTATCCGCCGCTGGCAAGAAGAAATACGATGAAAACGTCCGGCATTGTGGAGAAACAAATCATGGCTTTTGTATCACAATGATACACCTGTTCACTGGTCATCAATTGTTCATATTTTTTTGGCCAAAACAACTCTGTAATCATGACTCAGCCACCGTATTCACCAGATTTGGCCCTCTGCGACTTTTTCCTGTTCGCTAGATTGAATTAATGGAACGACGACGTTCTCCTCTCGGGAAGTTTTCCTCCTAGGGCATCGTCCTGTCCTTTTCAGGAAGGTAGACAGGTCACTAGGAAGCATCTCCTTCAGATCGGCAGGTGAAGGCCAAGACTCGCCGAACACACACTCTCTTATTGACCATAACTCCGGACACTCGCATTGGACATGCCTGACAGTCTCATCTTCCTGTTCACACATCCTGCATAGAGGTGTGTTCACTAGCCCCATATTATGTAGGTGTTTCCTTAGTTGACAGTGGTTAGTCAAAAATCCTATTGTTAAGCGTAGATTTTTTCTGGTCATCGCCAGATATTTTTTCGGCGCCAGCTTCCCAGGGTCGCCCAGGGTGATCCTGGCAAGACTGCATCTTATGATTCCATTCTATCTCTTTAGGGATTGAGCATGGGTGTAACATTTGGCTAGTTCCGCAATTATCGAGGTCATCAGGCCGTAGGTTCTTAGACCAGCCGCTTCCTTGGCTAAAGAGTCAGCAATACATACAGATTTTTCCTGGTCATCGCCAGATATTTCTTCGGCGCAAGCTACCCAGGATCGCCCAGGGTGATCTAGTAGTAGTAGTCTGGTAGTAGAGAGGTAGTATAAGTAGCTCTGTGTCATATATCTATCAATAGGCAAAAGACAGCTGCGTGTTCTTTTGTATACATTGCCACTAATAATTCACTCAAATTCGAACACGTTTTTCTATTTCCCATTCAGTCAAGAATTCAAAACGTTGTTGTAGTTATTAGAAAGTTTTCCCAAAAATAAGTGATCAGTCCACTTGGATTTGTCGAACTCACAATGGTTCTTCCGTTGTTATCAGTTCCCGCAGTTCCTTCATTGAGCTCAGTTTGTCGACGCTTCTTAAAGAAAGCTTTAGACTATTTTAGGGCTGTGGTTTCACTAGTGATTTTTTAGCAGCCACTAATATTCGTATTATGTCAATGTATTGCTAATTGATGATCAGCAGTATGCCTGGACTCAATGTGTGCCATACTGAATACGAGAAAATTCTACTGGTTGCTCTGTTATCCACCACAAATTGGATACGAGATGAATACTGTAGAGCCGATCCAACCTGAGCAATTAATTCCATGTACTAACTATTCAAATTTTCAAACCGGAAAGGTGGAATTGTTCCTGTCTGGTTGAGAAACATCTATCGCTTGTTGATGGATCCCTCTGTGTTCCAGGCAGAAATAGCGGCCATCGGACACTGTACAGGGGAAATAAAAAGGTAGAAGGTCACAAATAAAACCATTGTCATTTTCTCCGATAGCCAGGTGGCAATTAAGGCGCCCACCTCATTTCAAGTCTTCTCAAGACTAGTAAGAAGCTGTCTGAGCGCACTTAAGGAGCTAAGGGTCATTCTAGCTTGAGGGTCACAAAAGCAATGAGGAGGCCGATGTTTTAGCCCATGAAAGCGCATCCAAGGCTATGAACGGCCTAGCGAAAGCATGTATAAGCATGGTAGCGAAAGCATGTATAAAGCTCCCAGAAATGAGGCAGGTAAAAGGGTTCATAATGAAACCATCGCCCAGATTCACCTGCTGAACCTGCTAAACCACAACCGTGAGGTTGTAAGGGTAGTGGTGGTTCTACTTACGGGGCATAGCCGATCCAGAAAATATATGCGTAACATGGGTCTGACAGGGTCTGTCAAGAAGAGGAAGAAACCGCACCGCATGTGCGAAGCGATGGCAAGGCTAAGACACGCAAGATGCGAGGAAGAGAAACCAGAAGCTGCCAGCTATATGAAGGGGTCAGTGTTAAGGCTATAGAGTCTCATCAAAGAGATCAAGCTAGACAATGAGTTCTAACAACCAGGAGCATCACAATAGATCTGAAAAGGTGGCAGTGAATCAGACCATGGGCCAGCTCCCCGACAATCTAATCTAATCTAATAGCGAAAGTACTTCTGAGTTATTTTACTACATATATGCTTTTATAAAACATCATAAGCCTCCGCATCCGAACGAGCTAGCTGTTGGCTTCATGGGCCTAATTTTGTGGAGCGAACTGTTCCAGTTCCAATTCCAATTATCTCCACTACTGGTATGTATGATAAGAGATTTCCTTCACTACCTTTCCTCTGGCCCTCCCAAACGTGTCGGTTTTGAGTGCATCTGCTTTTTATTTAGGAAACCGATTGCAGAGTATACCGAAAGGTGAACCCTGTAGACTCACGGTCATTTCGTTTGTGTCGATGATATATTTTTTATTTCATAATTATTCGTACGGAATGGTGTTAGAAACATCATTCCAAAACAGAAATGAATCATCATAAATAACAAAGTTTGTATTGAATTGATGATATTCCTATTTCCAAAGTTCACTAGAGGCTGTCATCATACCAAATTTGGGATTGATTGCATTATCTAAAACTAACCTCGTCTGTGATGTCACCCAGGTGCTGCACATCTTCCGTCTCTTTGACTTCTTCTGTTTCCTCTCTGGATATAATCTTGCGCTCCTTAACCTCTCTGACGACTCCATCTGGATTGGGCACAGAGACCCAGTTGGATCTCTCGGCAATAACGTTATCAGCACCACCTTCCACAGCTTTTGGACCATCGACTTCATCATCGCCAAGCTTTCTCAACTGAAAATTAGTAACAGAAACTCATGAGATATACTAAAACATATAATAAATATTCTGGATGAGTCTAAAGCAATGTTGATGTGTTCGCAGCAAAAAAGTGATATCCAAAAAATTACTGGCCTTGGTAATATTATCGTTAGTGAAGATAATAATGGCAAAAATAGCAAATTCCTCCCGCTTCTGAATGTACCCATAAAAAAGTTCAACAACAACTATCCATGATTATTCCTAAAACTATACCGAATGGGATCATTCGATGAAGTTCAATAATCTAATCTAATTGAACTCCAATTTGAAAACTAACACAATCAGACTTCTCAAACACAACATACCGAACTCTCCATATCATGCCTCCATATCATGCCTTCCAAATATCCATATTTTTAAGTGCCTTCATAGTACCCTAGTGATTTGGAGAATAGTTATGAAATACCAAGTTCTATCATAATTCTCACACTACATCAGATATGTTATCAGCCGTTTTATTTAACGGAAAAACAGAACAGATCTCCTACCCTACCACTAAGATAGTCTGTGGCACTCTACTTCTATAAGCCATTTGAATTGAGAATTATTCCAACGAAAACGAGAATATTCAAAGTATTTTCAGCACCTAGAAACCTTTGGTTCCTCCTCTAATCTTTCCTAGTCCACACCATGCCGTCAAACAGTCTCGTTTTTAATTATTGTTTCGTCTACATGCTTTGCAATGAAAGTTGTACAGAAAGACAGAAAGCGATTTCTCATTCCTAAGTCAATGCATGGAGGCTGCAGAAAAAAACGAAAGACGAACTCGTTCAACTGTCGATGTCTAAGCTTGCTTCCGAAACAAACTTCCATAAAGAACCCTCGTTCATCTTGTTTCTATAAGCAAGGTCTGAGTTTTCTATTGATCCCATACATGACATCTCAGTGAGATATCCATGCCAACTAAAGCTCTGAATTGTTCTTTATAAGCAGTTAAATAGCAAGAACGCATCCGTGTTTCAGCTAAGCACTTCTGATGACACCTACACCAGGATAAAATAGCGCTGTCTAGTGTTAGATTAAAAATAATTCGTTTTAAGTATTCAGTTGCGTATTCTAATTGGATGTAAACGATAAATCTTTAATCAACCTAGGATACTAGTACTCAGATGAACTTGTGGTCCAACACCAGACAGCGTTGTTTCAGCGGTGCTAGGCTGAATCAGTCAACTGTCCTAGAAAAGTCAAGCATGTAAGTGAATATAATGACATCTCTCCCTAGGAAGAACCCTTCTATGGGATCGACAGAGAACTCACTTCTTGAATATCGAAGATAAACTAGGCTACCTGCGGCAATTGTAAAGCTCAGCTTCGACATCGACCGCTGTACGAATAAAAACCAACTTCGAGAAAAGATTTTAGATATAAAGTGTAACTTATTGCAAAGGACTTTTAAGCATTACACTACTCCTCTACTGAACGTCAACTGAACTACCTCAACTGTCCTTTCTATAACATTCTTGTGACATATCAAAAAATTATAATTAACAAACAGACGTAAACACTGCATGTCATAATTTGAACAATATTCTTATAAAAACTTCATTGTTGAGAGTGAAAACAATATACGCGGAAATCCAAGTACTTTTTGGAATTTTATTAAGAGTAAAATATGCAATTCTAGAATTCCCGGCATTATGAAGGATGACAATAACTCTTATTCCAAACCTCAGGAAATCGTCGACGCTTTTGCGAATTATTTTAAAAGTGTATACATCATATCGGATATCTACCTGTGTGGTATGCTAGATAACTTTCCAAACAATTTTCCGGGTATAAATATCGAACATATTAATGAGATAGATATCATTAAGGCCACTAACAAATTAAGACCACGAAACTATATCTGACAGCCTCAATTACGACCAATCAAGTGAAATCTCTTCAATCTGCCCTTATGGCTGTCCTAGAGGATATTTCAGGATACCTGAAGAAACCAAGATAGCGTCTAGTACTTTTTGGCTGCTGGGCGCAGTAGATACTCTGTAGCTTTGATGAGGAACTGCTCTGGAATTCCTCACAAGAGACATATTCCTGCACAATGCATTTTGTTGTTGATCTACCTGACGAATTGGGGGAAATGTACCATGGTCCGTCAACCCTAAAGCGGACTATTCATCACTGGAAAATTTTGGGTTTGTCGTCCTATCTTGAAGGACCCGACAAAAGGTGGGGTAACGCAAATCAGTTATAGGCATCGATTGATTTGTTGATTATTGTATTGGATATCAATTATTATGGGCCACTTGCTTCATTGAAATAGTTAAATCAGCTCCTCAAAATAAGTTTGAACCTTAAAGTTGTAACAAGAAAAATGAAAATTCACCTTATTTGTTGAACTTACAGTGTATTTCATTCTTACTCAAATCATGTAGTATAGCAAGTTGCAGTTCGTTAATTCTTCTCATCGCCTAAAAGACTGATTCTAAGGCTTCTTAACAAGCAATACAGAACAGTAGCCCCTCTACTGCTTACCACATGATGTTTCATTCACAATCTAGCAGGGTTACCTAGAATTTCAAGCCCCAAAATTCTAGGGTTTCTGAAAAGGTTACTCAGTATCTTGAGATCACTTCCTTGTAGTGTTAACCCTTCATCCCTTCAAGGAACATAAGTATTTTGCAGATAAAGCCTCAGCAGAAACGCATCTCACTACACACTATCTTATGTATCTTCTCCACTGGGTTGATACTTCAGTAGTATAGAAAAATGTGTTTTTCGACAAAAACTGTTTGTACAGAGTATGTCATGAAATAGTGGCCAATAACAACGTTCTCATTTCATGATACAGCAATCTTTTACTCAGCACAAGAATGGAACACTTTGAAAGAACTAGTAAAAAGAGATCTGTATGAAATCAAATCATGGTTTCAGAGACGATTGCTGACCATAAACCTTAGCAAAACATTGTTTCTTCCAGTATCCAATAATTTGAATATTTAGGTGTGATTGAAAAACCTCAGATATACTTTCAACAAAATCCAACGCATATAGTTTATGGAATAGTAGCTTGGGGGGCAGCCGGAAAAAAATATTATTAATAATTTAGTGATAGTACAGAAAATACTTCAAGTGTTTGTTTTTCTTGTATTTTTTAAATTTATTTTTATGCATCATTTCTAGAGATTTGGAATAATGCTTGTGTATCATATCTACCTACTATTTATACTCATTACCCTGCATGGGTGACTTTGTGCTTCCAGTTTCCGGGGGTGCCATAGTTATTTCTGAGCGCAACAGATAATGGCAATAGTGAGATGCCGAAGAGAAGGGGACTGAAGTTATCACCCTGAAATACACCCCTTCTGAAAGTTACCCACCCTGTTTGGACTCTTGCTTGACCAAATGTTATGGTGAAGCAAGTTCGCCAGAGTGGTATTAGTTGTTCAATGCATCTCACTATTTTGTCGGGTACCGCAAGGCATCTGAGCAAATCCAAGATGAGCTCATGCGATATTGTATCAAATGCCTTACGGTAATCGATCCAGGCCATAGGGAGGTTACGCTCATATCGAGTCTTGCGTTACACATCTATCGAGGAGCAGCGACTCCTCTCTTCGACCCTCTCTGCTCATCTCATTTTTTTTCACCGTAGTGTGCGCTGGTCAGGCCTTATTCCCCGAAGCCCCGATACATTCGGTAGGGCGCGCCAGCATTATCAACCAACGACCACTCCCCACACCGTGGGGTAAGTGATCATTGGGTCCGATAATCATGTGCTCTGAGCAAGCGCAGTGAGCCAAGAATGACAGCCTTCTGCATCTGTGCGGCTAAGATTTCTGCCTTAGTGCGGCAAGCCGGTATGATTTTAAGATTCGAGAGTCGAGAGAACATCATTCCACCAAGGACTCCAACCATCTTGACAACCACGATGAATATCGTCTTGCTTTGGTGATCGGAAAGGACTACATCAGGCTTATTGGCTTGACGGAGCATGAGGGTGGGGAACGAACAGTTCCAATAAATTCGGCACTTCTCGTTCTTCACAACGAATTCAATATCCCTCGGAGCGTAGGGTAACACCGATGTCTCGTCAATACCGCAAGAGTGCCGTAGATGGTAATATAGCACTCTTAGGGCCGCGTTATATTGATGGATATAGGCCGAGACCGCATATACTCGACATGCTGATAGCAAGTGCATTAGGGTCTCAGGCGCCTTGCGACAGGCCCTGCACCTTGTGTCAGGAACCTCTATACCAATCATGCGACTGCGGTAGACTGAGGTGTTGAAAACACAATCCTGGCAAGCCATGATGAACCCCTCAGTGTCCGACTTCAGCCAACTCGACCTGAGGAAAGCAAAAGTCAGGCGCTTTGATAAGCCAAGGTCTTCAATGTTATTGAAGAAGACCCTATGCATTGGCTTGTCCTTGTGATCTTGTGTTTCCGCAGAAGTGAGGTTATCTCAGCTCTGCTGAACGGGTTCCAACTCGGTGACAGAATTGTGGTCACCTTGTTCAGTGTCGAAAACTATACCGAGTTCATCAGCTGCTGGGGCAGCTGCAATAATGCTCCAATTCCTGCTCTAACATGGTTACGGACCATGTAGAGAAGGGAATCCAAACTTCTGACGACTTTACAGGCTGTATTCAGTACTATTCTCTCATGTTGACACTCCAAACTCAAAAGTCCATGGCCTCCCTGTTATCGGGGGAAGTACAACCGTGGAACGGGCGATTTGGGATGCAAACTACTATAGAGATGCATTATTTTTCGGGTATTTACGTTGAGTTGATACAGCTCCTCTCGAGTCCACTTCAGTACTCCAAACGAGTAGAGTACGATTGAAACTGCAAGCATATTTGTTGCAGCAAATTTGTTATTCCCCGACAGTTCCGATGACCAGATCTGTCGAAGTTTGTGCTGTTACTTGCCGCGGTTCTTCACTGCTGTTACCTCTTGTGAATGGCGTTGTTCCACCCCAAAGTAAGTTTACGTCTCTACGGCATCCAAATGGTATAGGATGCTTCCATCTACGAGCTGCACATCCTCTTCGTAGTTCCCGCATCGTCCTCTTTTGAGATTGACCATTTCACATTTGTCCATCCCGAATTTCATACCGATATCATGCGTGTACTCTTTCTCCACCCTCAAGGACTGATGGAGATCCCTCTCTCCAGAGACATAAAGTTTAAGATTATCCATATAAAACAAATGGGTGACTTTGTGCCTCCGGTTTCCGTGGGTGCCATAGTTATACCCTCGAGTATTTTTGAGCGCAACGGATAATGGCAATAGTGAGATGCAGAAGAGAAGGGGACTGAGAGAATCACCCTGAAATACACCCCTTCTGAAAGTGACCCACCCTGTTTGGACTCTTGCATGACCAAATGTTATGGTGAAGCGAGTTAGCCAGAGTGGTATCAGTAAAGAGCAGAGCAGAGCCAAGACCAAAAATAGCACGCCAAGCTCGATCAATTGTCAGTGTTACTCACTGTTTTCTTCGATCACCGTGGCGCAATGCATCAGGAGTTCTTGCCACATGGCCGTAAGGTCAATAAACAGAATCATCTTGAAGTTATCCGCCGCTGGCAAGAAGAAATACGATGAAAACGTCCGGCATTGTGGAGAAACAAATAATGGCTTTTGTATCACAATGATACACCCGTTCACTGGTCATCAATTGTTCATATTTTTTGGCCAAAACAACTCTGTAATCATGCCTCAGCCACCGTATTCACCAGATTTGGCCCTCTGCGACTTTTTCCTGTACGCTAGATTGAACTAATGGAACGACGACGTTCTCCTACGATTGGGGAGTACCAAATCGCTGAGAGAGCTCAAGGACATACCAAAAAGTGCATATCAGAACTGCTTCAAGAATTGCAAAAACACTGGCGTTAACTCTGAGGAGGACTATTTCTAAAGGTACAAAATAGAAGTTGATGAATATTTTTTGAGAAAAATTAAAATTCATCTCATTATTTGAACATACATCTCAGTTTTTCGAGGATAACTTACTATATTTATTTTGATATAATGGTGTGGTATTTGGAAAACAATTTAATCCGATAGTGAAAAAACTGGCAAAAATAAGGAATTCTAAACGGGAACGTGATCCAAACTCGAAGTGATTTGTGCGGGAGCTGAACTAATACAGTTGATTCTATCTACTGAAACATATATTTGTTTTTTTTTTCAAAGTCCTTGACAATATCCCGTATTTCACTACTCAGAAATAGCAGAGTATCTGTATACGTAGAGTAGGGAGGGTGAGTGCAGGGCCACAGCACTTAGGCCACATGTGACCCATTGTACATCCTCCCGAGAAGTTTTCCTTCTAGGTCATTGTCCTGTTCTTTGCTGGAAGGTAGACACGTCACTAGGAAACATCTTTTAGATCGGCAGGTGTAGGCCAAGACTCGCCGAACACACACTCTCTTATTGACGATAACTCCGGACACTCGCATTGGACATGCCTGACAGTTTCATCTTCCTGTTCACATATCCTGCATAGAAGTTTGTCCACTAGCCCCATATCATGTAGGTGTTTCCTCAGTTGATAGTGGTTAGTCAGAAATCCTATTGTTAAGCGTAGATTTTTTTCTGGTCATCGCCAGATATTTTTTCAGCGCCAGCTTTCCAGGGTCGCCCAGGGTGATCCTGGCAAGATTGCATATTTTGAATCCATTCTATCTCTTTAGGGATTGAGCATGGGTGTAACATTTCGCTAGTTTCGCAATTGTCGAGGTCATCAGGCCGTAGGTTCTTAGTCCAGCCGCTTCCTTGGCTAAAGAGTCAGCAATACATACAGATTTTTCCTGGTAATTGTCAGATATTTCTTCGGCGCAAGCTACCCAGGATCGCCCAGGGTGATCTAGTAGTAGTAGTAGTCTGGTAGTAGAGAGGTAGTATAAGTAGTTCTGTGTCATATATCTATCAATAGGCAAAGGACAGCTGCGTGTTCTTTTGTATACATTGCCACTAATAATTCACTCAAATTTGAACACGTTCTTCTATTTCCCATTCAGTCAAGAATTCAAAACGTTGTTGTAGTTATTAGAAAGTTTTCCCAAAAATAAGTAATCTTATTTTTGGGAAAAGCCCTAAAATAGTCCAAAGCTTTCTTAAAGAAAGCTTTGGACTATTTTAGGGCTGTGGTTTCACTAGTGATTTTTCAGCAGCCACTAATATTCGTATTATATCAATGTATTGCTAATTGATGATCAGCAGTATGCCTGGACTCAATTTGTGCCATACCGAATACGAGAAAATTCTACTGGTTGCTCTGTTATCCACCACAAATTGGATACGAGANATCAACTATTGTTGATTGACAAATCCTTCTGGATGAGTCTAAAGCAATGTTGATGTGTTCGCAGCAAAAAAGTGATATCCAAAAAATTACTGGCCTTGGTAATATTATCGTTAGTGAAGATAATAATGGCAAAAATAGCAAATTCCTCCCGTTTTTGAACGTACCCATAACAAAGTTCAACAGCAACTATCCATGATTATTCCCAAAACCTATGCCGAGTGGAATCATCCAAAGAAGATCAATCCTCAAACCTAATTGAATCCCAATTTGAAAACTAACTAGACCTTTCGAACACTTCATAGCGAACTATCAGCCGATTAACGGAAAAACGAAAACGAGAATATTCGAAAAAAGTTTTCAGCACCTAGAAACCTTTGGTGCCTCCTCTGATCTTTCCTAGTCCACACCATGCCGTCAACTAGTCTAGTTTTTAATTATTGTTTCATCTACGTGCCTTGCAATGAAAGTTGCACAGAAAGACAGAAGCGATATCTATCTCCGAAGTCAATGCATGGAAATTACAGAAAAAGAAGGAAGACGAACTCGTTCAACGATCGATGTCCAAGCTTGCTTTCGAAACAAATCTCCGTAAGGAACCCTTGTTCATCTTGTTTGTATAAGCAAGAGCTGAGTTTTCTACAGATCCCATAGACGCCAACTCAGGGAGAAGAGGTATCCATGCCCACTAAAGCTCTGGATTGTTCTTCAGAAGCAGTTAAATTGCAAGAATGCATCTGTGGTTCAGACAAGCACTTCTGATGAGACCTATACCAGGATAAAACAGCACCGTCTAGTGTTGGATTAAAAAGATTTCATTTTAACATTTCAGGTACGTCCTCTCTAATCGGATGTAAATAATAAATGTCCAATCAATGTAGGATACTCATACTTAGATGAACTTGTGGTCCACACCAGACAGCGCTGTTTTGATCCGACAAGGTCTCATCAGTGGTTCTAGGCTGAATTAATCAACTGTCTTAGAAAGGTCAAGCATGGAAGTGAATATAATGACATCTCTCCCCAGGAAGAATCCTTCAATGGGATCGACAGAGAACTCATCCCTTGAATATCAAAGATAAACTAGGCTACCTGAGGCAATTGTAAAGCTCAGCTTCGACATCGACCGCTGTACGAATAAAAACCAACTTTGAGAAAAGATTTTAGATATGAAGTGTAACTTTTAAGCATTACACTACTCCTCTACTGGACGTCAACTGAACTACCTCAACTGTCATTTCTGTAACATCGAGTCGAGAGTGAGAGCTTTTTAGTTCTTCAGCTTCTGATTCTGTTAACGAACCTAGCAGGCTGAGCCAGAAGGAGGCTCAGTCGCATCCTCAAAAGCAGAATATTTTTGAATTTAGCAGCAGAAGAAGAATCTGCATCAATACAGGAAATAAACTTCTCCTCCACAGACCAGCAGGCATGTTTGCTCAAACGATGATTCACCCAAATGAAAGGCGAAATCGATGTATCATCAAATATATCTTACAACCTCAGTTACGACCAATCAATTGAAATCTCTTCAATCTGCTCTCATGGCTGTCCTAGAGATATTTCAGGATACCTGAAGGAACCAGGATAGCGTCTAGTACTTCTTGGCTGTTGGGTGTAGTTGATACTCAGTTGTAGCTATGGTGAAGCACTGCTCTGGAATTCCTCAAAAGAGACATATTAATGCGCAATGCATTTTGTTGTTGATCTACCTGATGAATTAGGTCCTGACTTGATTACGGGAAATTTACCATGGTCCGTCAACCCTAAAGCGAACTATTGATCACTGGAAAATTTCGGGTTTGTAGTCCTATGTTGAAGGACCCGACAAAAGGTGGGGTAACGCAAATCAGTTATAGGCATCGATTGATTTGTTGATTATTGTAGTGGATATTAATTATTATCGGCCACTTGCTTCATTGAAATAGCTAATTCAACTCCTCAAAATAAGTTTGAACCTTAAAGTTGTAACCCCTCAGCAAAACGTCTTCAAAATCCGAAATGATTTATTTAACCACCTCCCCTAATACTTCACAGACTCAATTTTGATATTCAATTTCTGTTAGGTTTTTCTGACGTATAAGTAAACAATTAGTAAATCAGAAGTGCCCTTGAAATTTGAAACAAACAATTCTTACAACTATCTATTACCTCTGTTTGATGATGTTCCTGTGTTTCGGTGTCTTCGCTGGTATTGGTGGTAACCATTGGACCAGAATCTTCCACAACCTTTCCATCTTCAAGCACTACTTGTCTCTTCACTCTTGTTTCAATTTGTTTGGTGTTGGTGACTTCAGTTTTTTTCTTGCTCACCCATTCCTCTGAAAATGCCAGAATATGAAATAATTTGGCAATTACTCGCAAATTAAATGTTGAGAGATAGTGGTCGTTATTCAATCATCAGTTTTTCAATTATTTCTTGATTTTAAGAGGCAATTCTGTTCAAATTCAACGCAACCTTAGACGTTGGTGTGCAAAATTTCGTTCCGATTATTTTAGCCTCGAAGATGAGCCTCAAACTGGTCGACCTACAGTAATCCAGTGCGAGGATTTGAAGACCCTGTTGGAGACTCAACCATCACCATGGTTCGAGGGATGACGAAAGAACTGGGAGTCAGCTCCCATGTGGTTTTCGATGGTTTGAAACTTATTGGTGAGGTTAGAAAGCTCGAAAATTGGGTGCCCCACTATTTGAACAATCGACAGAAATTGTCACGTTTCTAGGCATCTGCTTTTTTGCTTTTGCGCAATCGAAATGGTCCTTTTTGGATCGGATCGTCACGTGTGATATGGAAAATGGATCCTCTAAGACAACAGGAGACATTCAGGACAGTGGTAAGCCACCCAGGCACTTCCTAGAGGCGAAAACCTACCCAAAAAGGACATTGGTTACTGTATGGTGAATAACGGCTGATTTGATTCACTAAAACTATCTGCAATCGGGCTAAACCATCACAGCAGTTTCCTATAGTGGGAAAGTCGACGATATGTACTGAAAATTGCATCAGCAGCACCTGACACTAATCAACTATTGTTGATTGACAAATCCGTTTTTAGGCAATGAAAACATTTTTAGAAAACGATATTTTTCAATTCATAACACAACACAACAAAAAAATATTTTTTGAATGTTTCCTACACTAAATTAGTCAATTTCTACTAATTTTGGGGTGATAAAAACGAAAATAACAATGAAAAATTTTTATTAGCTCTGGTTTTTGAGATACACAGTACTTAATCTTAAAGAGTAGTTATACTATACGTGAAAAGTGAAAGTACATAAAACAATATTGTTATGTTTCTTTTAGAA